CCACACACACACACACACACACACACACACACACACACAAATCCCAGATACTACCTCAGATCTTAGCACCTGGAGGCAGAAGCAGGCCTCCACAGCACTGATGGTGCCCCCATCCTGGGGAAGGAAGGATTACTCTGGAATGGTTCTCAGAGAAAGACCCAAGGCCCAATCGGGCATGGGTTGTCAAGTCATCTCTTCAGCTGGAGACTTCATCCCGAACTGCCAGGACCTACCTTTCTGTCCTCCCCAAGCTAGATCTGCATGGACCCTGAGATTTTCCCAGGCTTGAACTCTCAGGATTGGTGGGTTCTATGGGGAGGTGAGTATGGTACTAGCCAAGTGTCCCGTTCCCAAGGATTGTGAAAAGCACTAAGCATTTGCTTTGATCATTGGAGGCATTCCAAAAGGTACCAGTGGCATATTCATGCTCATCTTTTAAAATATTGGTCCAGAGACAGGATCTCACTATGTAGCACTAAGTGTCCTGGAGCTCACTGTGTAAACCATGCTGTCCTCAAATTCACAAAAATCCACCTGCCTCTGCCTCCTGAGTGCTGGGGTTAAAGATGTGTGCTGTCACATCTGGCCCAGATGTTAAGCCTTTTATTCCTAACTTGCATGTCTTGGCTTCCAAAACAGCTATTCACAGAAGGAGCCCTCTCAGAGTTGCTGCCTGCCGTCATAGTCCCCAGCAGCAAGGAGAGGAGGCTCTGATTGTCATCTGTGTTACTCATCTGTCTTTACTTTTCATTCCCAGATGAGCTTTAGTGATTTGTACTTTTTCCAGAAAATGACACTATTCCTTTTCTCTTTTCCTTTAGAGATATGAATCAAGTCCTTGATGCCTACGAAAATAAGAAGCCATTTTATCTGTACACGGGCAGGGGGCCCTCCTCTGAAGCAATGCATCTGGGGCATCTTGTCCCCTTTATTTTCACAAAGTAAGTATTGCTCGTGTGACTTGTCACTTCCCTAGTGAAGCAAGAGGAAGACAGGGCTGCTGCCTGTTGCCTGAGCTACAGGACCAGGACCTTGCCACCTGCTCATTACATTTGCACCTGGACTTAACTCTGACAGAGACAGGGATGATGGGAGACCACCACGGTGGAGCGAGTCAACCAGGCGTGCTCCACTCCTCTTCCTGCTCCTTGTCCTTGTCCTTGCCAGAATAGGCCCACTCTAGTCCAAACCTCATGTCCATGTCTGCCAGATGGCAGGAATTACCTCAGAAAAGATGATTAGTGAAATGTATGGCATTGACAGTGCAGCTTTGCAGTGACAGAGCAGGCAGGAACTGTGCTCACATACAAAATGGGCCTTCTTGCGCAGAGTCTCCATCCTCCGCGCCCCTAAATTTGACTGCAGGGCATGTTCACACCTACCAATGCCTTCTGTGTCTTGTAGGTGGCTGCAGGATGTATTCGACGTGCCTCTGGTCATCCAGATGTCTGACGATGAGAAGTACCTGTGGAAGGACTTGACTCTGGAGCAGGCATACAGCTACACAGTGGAAAATGCCAAGGACATCATTGCCTGTGGTTTCGACATCAACAAAACTTTCATCTTCTCTGACCTTGAGTTTATGGGGTAAGTAAGAAACATTTGGCTGCCTCTGAGCAAGTGGGTGCAGGCGTCATGGCCAACATGAAGTGCTGGAGCTGGGTTTTGGCCTGGTTTGTCTTCTGTTATGATCTGGAATGTTGCTTTCCTTTAGCAGTAATTTTTGAGGTGGGAAGCTGTGTGTGGCATAGAAAGAAGTCATGTCAGAAACTACTGTGGCCTTCATAAACTTATCTTTAGAAATCATAAACATTTGCCCGGCATAGTCACGGTGTCGCCCTCAGCTCTCGCAGTGAAGTGTTTTGCACGGCAGTGTTCCAGAACAGCCAGTCTTGGAGTTTGGTAGCCTTCTCACTTTCAATGGGACTTTTTCCTCAGAGGAAGTTCCATTGTTAGACATGTTCTATACAGTCTCATTTCGTAAATTGGCCATGTTTGTATCGGCAGACTTCATTCTTGAACTTCATCCCCAATCATTACTGAGAACTTTGGTAGAAATCATATTTTGAAGCCAGTATGTCGGTGTGTACCCACACTCAACCCTGGTACTCAGGGGCCTGAAGAAGCAGGATCAGGAGTTCAAGATACCCCAGGGCTATATAATTAGACCCTGTCAGAAGAAACAAAATGGAGTGGAGGCGGTGCTGTTAGTCAGCCATGGTAAGAATGATATTCAAGCCCTGTGAGCTCTAATCCCAGCACTCGGGCTACTGATGTACTCAGACTACATAGTTAGAACCTGTCTCAAAAATAAATAACATCAGACAGTGACTCCTGTTTAGCTCCACAAATATTTTTTGAGTGCTGTGGTGTGGCTCAGTGGCAGAGCACTTCCCTAGTATGTGTGAGGCCCTGGGTTTGTTCCCCCACCATGGTGGGACTTGGGAGGCATCAAATCTAGAGCACTAGGGAGTTGATTAAGCAGGTTGAATTGGCTTGGGGCTAGAGGCCCTCTTGTGTAGTGTTACAGCCAGTGATTAGGCCAAGGCAATGTGAGGAAGCACACAGCCTGTGGGCACAGAGGTGGTTGGCTGGTGCTGTTCCCCAGCTGCCAAGTGGGAGCTGTGTGTCCACCAGGACAGGAAATCTGACCTCTTGTCAGCTAGGAACATCATTAAAATTTTAAAAATATTTTTATTATGCTGGGTGTGGTAGAACATGTCTTTAATCCCAGTTACATTTTAATTCGAGTGGGTCGAGTGTGTGTAGGGGGTGGGGCGGGGTGCATCTTACAGGATAGTTCTCCACTTCCACCATGTGAGTACTAGGAATCGGATTCAGGTCATCAGGCTTGGTGGCAGACACTTTCAAAAGCTGAGCCTTCTTGCCTGTCCCTCCCCACCCCACAGATTAATTTTTGAGTTTTGCCTATCAGACTGCTTTTCAGTTATGTAAGCATAGAGGCTCTGCTATCTATCCCGGAAGGAATTTAAATGGATCTAAGGTCAAGATCTGACCATGGGTCTTCAGTGGTCTTACGGTAACATGGAGTCATCAGACTTGTCACACTTGTCCCATTGTTTTCACCTCATTCCTTAAAAGAGCCTGATGCAAGTGCTTGAGCTTCAACCCAGAGACACACCATGGATCTGCTGCTCCTCTTACAGCCAGGCTGTTGACAGGGCACAGTGACTGCGAACTTTCATTTGTGAGTCGCCCTCCATGTGTTGCTTAGGCTGACCTTGAACTCCTGGACACAAGTGGTCGTCCTTCCTTAGCCTCCCAGGTAGCTGAGGCCGGAGTCCTGCACCAGCTTCTGGTCTGCAGCATCCCTTACCACTGCAGCCCCTCCCACTCTGGTCTTCCACACTTGAGCCTTGCCCGGTGCCCCAGCATGGGACAGAAGAGCTCACTGTGCTCTTAGCACACAGACTCGTCTGTTTTGGTCCTTTAGCAGCACAGCCATCTCCAATTTGATGGACAGTTAACGGTTCACATCCCTCACCTTTGCAAGCAAAGTGTTATCCTCTGAGCCCTTCACCTCTGTATGGCTAACTCTTTCACTTTTCCTCCAGTGAATGTTAAGACCCCTTTTCCTGGAGAGATGCCCTTCTCTGGTCCCTGCTACACACAACTGCCAATCTGACACAGGGGGCCCTCTGATGGGCCACCGTCCAGTAAGTAAATCAAACACATAGCTCCTTCATCTGCCCTCTAGGGGAAGTGCTTTTCTGGGCCCTGAAAACATAGTGGTTTGGCTAACTCTGCCCTCCCTGGACTCAAATGTCTGTTTGTGTTAGTTAAGGTTTCTATTGCTGGGATGAAACACCATCCTAACCAAAGCAAGTTGGGAAGGAAAGGGTTTATTTGGCTTATACTTCCACATCATTGAAGGGAGTCAGGACAGGAACTCAAACAGGGCAGGAACCTGG